GGGGGGGGGGGGGGGGGGGGGGGGGGGGGGGGGGGGTATTGATAATTTTCCCAAGGGGTGATGTGGAAAATGAGGACGAGAAGGGTTATATTTGAAATTTACGTGAGCGGTGGTAGCCCGACTCACACTGAGTGAGGGTTCCTGACTGAGACTGGAGGGTTGCTGGTGGCCTCATGGGACTGGGACTGGGACTGGGGCTGGAGCTTGGACTGGGACTGGGACTGAGACTGGGACTGAGACAGGGACTGGTCCCTGTTTAAAAAAATGTTAAAGAGAAAGGGGGGGGGGGGGTGTAATTGGCAACATTCCCAAGGGATGATATGTGGGAAATTTGGAAGAGGAGGGGTATATTTGAAATTTTCCTGAGGGATGATGGTCTGACTCAGACTGAGCTAATGGAAATCCTTAGCATGAACTCGGCTATGATTATATGTCAGGTTCACAGTTAAACCACCAGTACCCCAGAGGGGGTCTTAGGCCCCCTTTGGAGGGAAGGCTCGGACGCAAATGCATATGGACCCCCGCGGCGCACCGATTCAGCCACCGCGTTAACACCCTAAGAATGTGGAGGTGCTGGTGGTTGGTTTAATAGCATGAACCTAAACGTGTAACAGAACCAAGTCCTGTCCATGCCATGTTTTGGCTAAGCTAATGGAAATCCTTAGGGCCTTAGCATGAAGGTGGCTACTTTTTATGTCCAGGTTCATAGTAAATAGCCCAAACCTGTGTGTTTAGTCGTGGCCCGTTCATGCTATGTTTGAGGTAAGCTAATGGAAATCCTCTGCATGGAATGTACTAGTTTTATGTCCAGGTTCATTATGAATAGTACAAACCTGAGCATGTATCTGAACCACGGCCTGTTCATGCTGTGTTTGTGCTAAGCTGCTGATGGAAACATTTTGCATGAAATTGGTCGTTTTTTATGTTCAGGTTCATGATAAGTAGCACAAGCCTGAACCTGTATGAGCACCTGGTCCATGGCCTCTGCTCGTGCAATGTTAATGCTAAGCTCATGGAAACCCTTAGCAAAAACTTCGCTATTCTTATGTCCATTCACGAAAAAATTCACATGTTTTCAAGCAAAAAAAAAAATAAAAAATAAAAAAATCACACAAAAAGAGAAGAAAATCGCACAAAAAAAGAAGAAAATCTCACAAAAAAAGAAGACAATCGCACCCGGGGAACCTTCTCAAAAACAGAGACTTGTTTTTCTTCCATGTCCTCGGCACCAGCATATTTTATACATTTCTGTCCATCAAACATTTGCGCTGTGGACGCCTGCTTATACGTACTTATTTCAGACATACCCTTGAGATCGGCCTAGCAGGATTATACAGCTCCCTGTATATGTACTGGTCCCACACATCATTGGGACACTCT